TAATCACTTTAAACTCAATATAAATTAATAGAATATGATTTTGGTAAGAATTAGCTTAATTTAATATCGACGTAGAATCTGTAATATTATATTAATTGGTTCTAAGAATGAAAGAGTTTTTGTAATAAAAGAATAAGTACAAAATTGAAATATAATAGAATTAGAGCTTAATTGAAATAAAATATTAAAATAATACTTCATTGATATAAAATAAAAATGATAAGATTTGATGGATGTTTATGAGAAAAAATAATAATTATTAATAATTTTTTCATTTTTTATTCCAAATAAGGAATAAATTAAGGAATCGTCCTCATAACTTTATTACAATATTCTCAAGAATTAAGTCATATCATGTAGACCCAACCATTTTGGTATATTTCATTTTATCTACAAAAGCAAGTGAATACAAAAGCAAGTGAATCCAAAACATGTGGTGGTGTCATCTGCCACATAGAGGGTGTACCTACAAATGCATCCACTTTTGAACCAATTTGTCCACTTTCCGCCCATATTTGAAAGATGATTGAACAACAGGGGAAAAACTTTGACAGGGGGTATCCATATCTCTACAGTAGGGGNCCGCCCATATTTGAAAGATGATTGAACAACAGGGGAAAAACTTTGACAGGGGGTATCCATATCTCTACAGTAGGGGGCGTTCAACCTTTTGACTAGCCGCAAGTTCATATTTTATCCCATGCTACTCTACCTTATTAAACGCTTAGTTGCAAAAACAATGATAGAAATATAGAAAAATTTTTGATTCTTTGATAATTTTTGGATAAGAACGCAGAATTGTCATCCATTTCTATATTTTTACTCTATCCTAAACCTTAGCGGAGCAATTATAATTTTAATATTTTTTCATATAGTTTAAAANATATTTTTACTCTATCCTAAACCTTAGCGGAGCAATTATAATTTTAATATTTTTTCATATAGTTTAAAATTTAAACTTAAATTAATTGTTATTATATTTGTGTAACAATTATGGTGGATTGATGTCCATATTTTTTTGTGTTTTATTATAATTCTTGTTGTAGTTGTTTTAGATTTTAATGTTAATTGATTTATTATGATGTTAAATTGGTGCATGTTATTTAATTAAATTGTTAAAATATTCTAAAAATTAATTGTTACAAAAATGTTTACCCGACTTTCTACCCAATTAATCGGGTAGGAAGTCGGGTAGGAAAGGTCAAGAAAAAATTCTTCTGCAAAGTATCGGGTAGGAAGACGAAAGAACATATTTCCTACCCGTAAAAAAGGTGAACACCCCTACTCTACAGTACCTTTCAAACATTGGAGTTGTCTGTGGTACCAAAATGTAATATTTCGGCAAAATATCAAAAAATTGCTTTTACAATATTAGTGGATAAATTTATAATAATAGTGAACAAAATTAAAATATTAATAAAAAATTTACGAGAGTAATGGCCAAAATTATCAAAATAATGGTAAACATTATAACATTAGTGAAAAATTTATAACAATAGTAGACAAAATTACAATATTAATGGACAATTTACTATAATAATAGGCAAAATTACTGCAATAGTGACAAGCTTTTACCACCATTTGAGGTACCAGAAGTATATTTTGTAGATTTGTGATTGATTACTAATATTGACCGATCTATCAAGCCAATGCACATTGAGGGCAAAATTAAAACATTTCGGAAAAATTTACAACATTAATGAAAATTTTACAAGGGTAGTGGACAAAATTACCACAATAGTGGTAAAAATTATAACATTAGTGAAAATTTTACAATAATAGTGGAAAAAATTACAACATCAATGAACAATTTACTATAGTAATAGACAAAATTACTACCATAGTGACAAACTTTTACCACCATTTGAGGTACCAGAACTATATTTTGTGGTTTGTGATCGATCATTAATATTAATTGATCGATCAAATAGATGCACATTGAGTCGTAATATTAATTAGAATAATCATAAATTAACCTCAAAACTTGTAAATTAATCCATAATTTTTGTAAATTGATGCTCAAAGGTGATAAATCTGCCCTTAATTATGGTAAATTGCCAACAATTTTACTTAATTACACTGGCGACTTGTGGTTGATCATATATATTTGTATTCGATCACAAACTTATTTTTTTTCAAAAAAATTTGGGAGAGACTACTACAACCTTGCCATAGATCACAAGGTCATAGGATAGATGCAAATATTTTAGAGATAAAAAAAATAATAATTTCGATATATCCAATGCTTTTGATTCAATACATAATTCGGAACTCTGTCATCATTGAATTATCAACTTGCCGATTAAATAACTAGGGTCAACATTTTGAATGATTTACCTTCAAGCTTATTATGATTATTTGATTGATGCATGGTACAAAGACCTTCCAGCTAACCTAATCAGTTGATGTGTTATAGTTCAATATACATCAAGCCTACTGGTTAACTTTCTAATAAACTTGAAGTTAATTGTTATAAAGTGACATTTTCATAAACAAACAATATAATGCATGTTGAATCTCCAAACTGAATAGTACCTTTTATCATTATCTTTTCATGTTTTAGTTCAATATTTATTTGATAGTTTTAAGCTCACACTACAAGCTATTCCACTGCACATTTCATCCACGACCATTTTTTCATTTTTGTTTTGAATCCTGACAGTTACCTCCTTGTGGGTTCAAACTCGGACTTAACTGAGAAATATTATAATTTAACCACTTATACTTGAGTGTATGACATAAATCAAGTCAGATCATTGTCATTGGGTTGTCATTTGTGACAAAAAAGGAGGAGAATATTTTAGATACATTGGGAGAAATCGGCGATGTTTACTCTTGATTAGGGTAAATATGTTGCATGTGAACATAGAAAGAGGGAATTTGTTTGAATACACAGGGGGAGTAAATTTTACAAATTTGGTATGAAGTCACACATTTTTCTCTGTTTATTTTGCACTTGTTATTTTACTTGTGAACTCCAACTAAGGAGGAGAACTTGATGTGTTTCATAGTGATAAATCAATAAGTTCTTAAGCATATTGGCCAAGTTAGTTTCTAACATTTTATATATTTGCACTTGCATGATGTATACATACTTATGCCATATGCTTAACTTGAATTTTCTATACCTGTGATTATGTTATGTATTTCTCTAACATATGATGCTTTTGATGAGGTTTTAGTTTGAGTGGTAGTGTGCAGGACTATGATCTTCAAGCTCCATCAAAAGAAGTAGATCCTAATTTCATCAAATTAACACCAAATTGACCATTAATTTTATCATGTCAAAATTCAATTTCATCAAATCCACCTTCAATTTTACTTATTAAAATTCAATTTTATTAAATTAATACCAAGTGATAATTTTATCAAGTGGTGATGTAATTTTTTTCTACTATTGTGGTAATTTTGTTCAATACTATTATAAATTTTTCACTAATATTATAATTTTGTTCACTATAGTCATAAACTTTCCACTCATTTGTCTTTTATTGACATCTTTTCAATATGGTATCAAAATATTCTATTTCGGTACCGTAGTTTGCTCCTCAACCGTATAGAGACAAATGATTGACGTACTATTGAATCCTTAAAAACCACAGAGGGAGATGGAGAATTTGATTCCTTTCATACCCTTTTAATATTAAGTAGTGAAAGAATTTCTTTCCTGAAGTAGACAAGGGGACGAAGCACAGCCGCCAAAGGCTGCAATCGTTTAACACCATTTTCACTGAGTTATATAGAAGTAATTTGTGTACACAAAAGTTGTTTTTCCTAAAAATTTCTTTTTTACAAGTTAATAGGTGTCAATTATTTATTGAGTATGTATAATTTTTTTATCGTGCCTTCTAACATCACATCTTTCCATTTAGGACTAATTCAAAGTTACGAGTCTCAATTTTTTTTTTAGAAAATTAATGATTGAAATTATGAGCAGAATTTGGACAAACTTTCATGTGTAGAGGCTTAACTTGTAATTTTTAAAGTCTACTTTAGCTTGACTTGGACTATGCCGAACTTAAGCTATGCATGAACCATTTGGGCTTGACTTGTTTATTATTTGTGTGAGCTCGAACCTATAGAAATATTGCACTAACAGGTATGGAAATATGTGGCAAGGGAATGCAATCCATTTGGTCTTGTTGCAATTGACCTCAGCCTCTTTGAAATTGGCAAAGAAGGGCTGTTGAATCCTTCCTTCTGCTTGGCTCTCACACTCTTGAGAACCTCTCAATCCAACTTTATATCAATCTGGGAGCCATGCTATAGTAGAAATCTCATACGATGAGAGGAAAAACTGAATATAGCACATATATAAACATATAAAAATAGAGAATTTACTTTTAAAAGGAACGACAACAAGAGCGGAAGGTTTAGGTCCCATCTTCAATTTATGCAGATTGGCCTCGAAAGCCAAGTTGTCAAATTTTTAAGGTTATGGATTTAAGTTGGGGAAAGTTGATTACCTGAGCTCATTACTCCTCCAACTCTCCTTTCTTGCCAATAGGTTAGCCAACTATTACATTTCTAAAGGTAGCGGCAACTAGGACCTTCCCCATAGTTAAGATTAACTTATCCCCATCAGTGAGTATAAGGCGAACTCTAAACATTAGATTATCTATAATATACAATAAAAGACACACATACATAGCATATATTTCAAACATTTTACCCACTCAAATTCTCATAGAAAATGAAGAACTTTTATACAAGAAGGTTTTTAACATTTGTGCTGGCACTTCAAATTTCTAACACCGAAGCAGGTATAGCACACACAAAGGAAAGATCGAGGAACAAGAATACACATTTTTAATGGGAGGAAAGGTATCTTCAAACACACAGGAACCTCAAACCACAGACATTAGGGAGCTACAAACATTGGAACTTCTCAACAAAAATGGAGAATAACTACCCCATTTTCTCCGAATTCCCTTATTTGCTAAACCTAATTGAGGCAAAACATCTATGGAACCTCCGAATCAGAAATCAAATCATTCCACTGGAATATGGAATGATCAACTCACTAATATGGGATCCCAACCACATCTGGGGATGTTACGATCTAGAAATCCGGCGGCCATGGGAAGAGCTCCTAGAGCTAAACAAAGAATGATTGAGCAAGGCGAAGGCATGGGCATTGATGAATCACCCCCAAACCCCACATTGGACACCTCAAAGGATGAATCAGGAGGTAAATCAAATGATCCAAAACTCATGGGATGGACCACGCGTCATCGCTAACTCATCCATGAGCCTAGCAATTGGAACGATGGAACACTAGGTGATNGCGTCATCGCTAACTCATCCATGAGCCTAGCAATTGGAACGATGGAACACTAGGTGATAGTTTGCCCCAAATGGTATTCCAAGGAGGGTCAAATACTGGGACTGGAATGAAATGAATTTGGGATGGATTCAAAGATTATGAAATGGCTACAAGCTAGGGAGTGTACCACCAAACTGATGAATAATATGAAGATTATTTATTAGAACTATAGAACCCAACACACTGGTTTCAAGGCATTGCTTGGGGAGCTGATTAGAAGCTATCAACCTATAATGGTAATCATCTCATAAACAAGGGTCGGTGGAGAGAGCAAAAGGAATAAGCACTAGATTCCAATTGGATAAGAGGTGTAGNATTAGAAGCTATCAACCTATAATGGTAATCATCTCATAAACAAGGGTCGGTGGAGAGAGCAAAAGGAATAAGCACTAGATTCCAATTGGATAAGAGGTGTAGGTAACTATCCTACAAAGGATTGAACAGGAAATCCATGTTTTTATTGAGGTGCCCTCTTATCCCCCCCTAGATTTTTTAAAACATTTATGCAAGTCCTATACTAGAATGTAGAATTTTTTTTTTTTTTTGGGAGAACCTAAATCAGTTGCTGCAACACATACCCTTCCTTGGCTTATGCTTGGGGATTTTAACGAAGTGTTTGAACCTAAGGATAAGCTAGAAAGGGCACTAGTTAATCGTAGGCATGTTGCATTATATAGGGAATGCATGGACGATTGTAACATCATGGAATTAGGGTTCCGAAGCCAATGGTTTACTTGCACCAATGCTAGGGGGCCTAACTGCCTTATAATGCAACGATTGGACAAAGTTTGGTGCAACTCAGAATGACTACAAATCCACCCTCACACCATAGTCACACACCTCCCTACAACTGACTCTAACCAGTGCCCACTCCTAAATACCACAAATCAATCTCCAATTCATTAAAAACCCTTTTGGTTTGAAATGATGTGGCTTGGGCACAAAGATCTAGATGGTTTGCTACAGTTTTGTTGGCAAAGTGAGGCTCCCCTTAATAGGTCTTTAGATAATATTGCAGAAATCCTCAAAGAATGGAATAAAAAAGAAATTGGTAATATTTTTAGGAGGGAACAATGAGTTTTAGCCAGGCTGGAAGGAATACAAAAAGAAATCTATTTCAACCCCAACCCTCACCTGTTAGATTTGGAACGACACCTTAGAATAGAGTACAATCAAATCTTAACACAAGAGGAGGAATTCTGGACTCGAAAGTCTAGAGTTGAGTGGTTGTCTTTAGGGGATAGGAATACAAAATTTTTCCATACCTCAACAATAGCTCGAAGAAAAAAAAAAAAAATCCAAGCCCTAATGGATGAGGTGGGGGAATGGACAATGGAGCAATGAGAAATCCAGAATAGGGTAACTAAGTACTTTGGGTTAATCTTTACCCCCTGTCCTTTGTCCAATGTCAGTAATTCTGATTTTGCATGGCCACCAGTTACAAAAATCCAGGATAGGGACCTTTTGGGGCTAACTAGGACTCCCGACTATTTGGAAATCCCAAAGGCAGTGTGGCAACTCAAACCAAAAAGGCCCCAAGGCCGAATGGGTTTCATGCCATCTTTTACCCCAAACAATGGGCCACTATTGGCCCAAGTGTACAAAGTTTCATTGAACAAGTTTTTCAAACTAAAATAGTTGTCGAAGTAATAACAAAAACCTCAGTTGCCTCATTCTGAAAGTCCTGAAGCCGCAAACCTTGAACCAATATCACCCCATTAGCTTGTGTAACACATCTTACAAGTTCTTGTCCAAAATCCTTGTGAATCAATTGCAGCCTCTCCTAGGAAGTCTCATTCATCCCCTACAAGCGAGCTTCGTGTCTTGGCAATAGTATATTGATAATATAATCATAGCACAAGAAATAATGCACACACTGTCACAGAAAAAAGGAAAAAAGGGAGAGATGGCCATTAAAATCGATCTTGAGAAAGCTTATGATAGGATTCAATGGTCTTTCCTTGAAAAGTTCCTTGGGGTAATCCATTGTCCCCCACAAGGTCCGAAATATTATCATGGCCTATGTTACGTCGGCCAAATTAGCAATTCTTTTAAATGAGAGCCCAACAGAGTGGCTAGACAGGGTGACCCCTTGTCACCCTACTAGTTCATATTGTGCATGAATGTGTTATCTCTCACAATTGAATGAATGTGTTATCTCTCACAGTTGAACAGTAAGTGTGATGCCCCAAAATTTGGGGGTCCTTTCTTAACTCGTGATCACCCATCAACCTGTGAAATACCATAAATACCGTATAACTCAAAACCATGTCGTTATATCACATTCACCGGTATTATAAAAAAATAGAATTTTAGTAGAGTCTCCTTTGCACGGGAGCACTACCCAACATATAAACTATTCATATATTAATCATATGATCATTCCATGGTCGAAATTCTGATTCTGGGACTTCAAACTTGACCATTTACATCATCCAAAGAAAAGAGCTCAAAATGTGAAGGTTCAACAATGTTACAGTTCAAAATTCAATTTTTGGGAAGAGGTACAAGTACCTCTGATAAGTGGTACCGATACCAGAGCCCTTTAGTTGCTAGGTACCAATACTTGTAAGACTTGGTACCGGTACCAGGTCCCCATAACAATGTGGTACCAGTGCCTAAGCCCATTGTTAGTGGGCTACCAGTACCTGTGAGCCAAGGTATCGGTACCTGAGCCCACTAGAAGCTACGTACCTATGAGATGCCAGTACCTAGAACCCAGGTTTTCCCAAGTTTCTCATTTTTCAACTTTTAACCACACAAACACATACAACATCCTTTACATTCATTTGTATACAAAATAATAATGTCCAAAAGTGTCCCATTACATGTCTTTGTCTAAGTATAAGGTTTGTACACAATTTATACAAGGCCAAAACAAAGATATACAAGGGACTACAAAAAATGTACTTTAAGAGCCATGACTCAATTCTATCATCAACACGGGTCCCAGTGAGGGCCGTCTGCTGAAGCTTGTCTAACACTTGAAATGTATTCTCAGAAAAGGGTGAGGCACGTTTAATAGGAAATCTCCTAAGGAGGTCACTCCCCACCCCATATGCATATGAAATGTCACATGCAAGTCATCACATCAAACATCCATTCAAATACCTACATTTGATAAATGAATGCTACTATTTCATGTCATGTCATGAGATGGAACTAATGCATGCAATGCAAACTCGAGCTCTCAACCGACTCCCATAATACATGTCATGTCATGCATATGCATCAGAGCATTCCAAGCTCCAGTCATTGATGTTAGACATCTAATGATCATTTTATAAAATCTTGTACCTTACTGGGTGGGTAATTATGGACATCACATCAACAGTCTACCAAACCAACACGACATTTGAGGGCATCACACCTCCAGTTTCGAGTACACCAGCACACATTTCCAGACTTTCATCACATGACAAGTGAGTGAACTAAGTAACTGGGTCTTGCACCCGAGGGAGAATCTATCCCTTCTTGCTACACTCAGCACGTATTTAAATTTAAGTTTTAATTTTCCTGAATTTTATAATAAGTGGACTTGGGGCAATGGAAACCCATCCAAGTGGGAAGGGGAGGCGTTAAAATTTCCCATGTCAAGTTCGCCAATGACCTCCTCTTCTTTGGGGAGACGTCAAACGAAAACTGTCAGTGTATTATGGAAATCCTTAACCAATTCTGTCAAGTCTCAGGGTAAAAAGTTAGTAGTCACAAGTCCAAGGTCTTCTTCTCCACTAACTGTCAAGAAAATGATATCCAAAGGGGGTTTGAAATGCTAGGCATGCCTGGTATTGATGACTTAGGGAAGTATTTGGGATTCCCTTTACTCCATAGGAAACCAACCCCAAGAACTTTTCAATGCCGCCTTGATAGGGTTAGGAACAAACTAGGAGGATGGAAATCCAAATTGTTATCACTTCCAGGACGATCTACCTTGATCCACTCAGTCACCTCATCCATCCCTCAATAATACACACAAACCATGAAATTCCCAAGAGCCACATGTAAGTAGTTAAATCAAATTAATAGGAACTTCCTGTGGGGATCCTTTGATGAGAAAAGGAAAATTCACCTTGTGAATTGGAATCAAGTCACCAAACCAAAGATTGCAGTTGAGGGGTAGGGGGGTTGAAATAGATGAGCTTGAAGAACCGAACAACCATTGCCAAAATCAACTGGAGGTTTTTAAAAGGGAGGGACAAATTGTGGAGCCAAGTACACAAAGAAAATGCCTTGATAACACAGGGAATGAGTGAAGAAAAAACCACTCGTATTTCTAGTCCAATATGGGGGTGGGGAGGCCTATTTTATTTGCAGAGGTTCGGTGGAAAATCCACAATGAGGAAAGGATTATTGTTTGGATGAATAATTGGTTAGGACAGGGTAACCTCAGGAATATTCTTCATGGATCACTCCAAAGGGGGGGGGGGGCAATCCATTTGACCATGCGATTTTTGTCAACGAAAGAACCATGCCAACAAAAATAATCCAATAAGCCTTAGCTAGAGTAGCTGAGTTTCATTTCCTCCAACCTCTAAGCACTAGGCCAATACGATCCGGGCAATTATTGGGTTGGAAACCCCCGACAACTAGGTGGGCCAAGTTAAATACTGATGGAGCAGCTCAAGGTAATCCAAGCCTGGTAGGAGCGGGTGGACTTATCAGGGATGAAATGGACCAATTGGTGGTGGGCTTTGATGAGAGCATTGGCCTTTCTACTAGTCTAGCAGTTGAGCTATTATGGGCCTTGAGGTCAGGTTTACAACTCGCAAAACAAAAAGGAATTTAAAGGCTGGAAATATATGTCGATAAACAGCTAGTGGTCGATCTGCTTCACAATACCGATACACAGCATCATGTCTATTGCCCTCTTCTAATTGACTACAGGTGGCTAATGGAGAGTATACTGGAAACAAGG